CTTCTTCTTCTTCTTTCTTCTTTTTAATAATTCCAAATCACACAATTTGGACTTCTGGGTGAGTGAACAATTTAAGATGACATTCAGCTCAGGTCAGAACTTCAGATAAAACTTATTTTAGTATAATGTCTTTTAAAGGTATTTACTTCTAAAGCGTATTGAGATATTAAATTGAAATTGGGAGGCATGATGTCCAACATGAGTTGAAAAGAGCATACTATAGTAGTTTGTCAGTAATATGTATTGTAGATCATGACAGAAAATTGAAGGCTATATTACATTTTAATCCCTAACACACACCATGCGCCAAAGGTTCAATTTCATAATGTTTTTTCTAAAATGAATGCGATCTGTGTCCCAGTCAGCAGGTGATATTGAGTTTGTGCGAGGGGCTTAAAATATATATTTTTTAATATTTTATTTCTCGTTGCAACATATCTTACAATATGTGAAGAAATTTGCATAATCAGTTGACTCAAATAATGATGAATGATTTGTACAAATGCTACCAATATTAATTAACAACTTGTTTAGATTCTGGAGATAAAATGTTCAAAATTGAGGTTGCATAAACATGTACTGTACAAAAATGCTTGTCATTTACATATATGTAAGCCAGTTTTATCTGCAAATTAATACTCTATTCACACAGATGGCACATATACTGTATGTCAAATTATGTGCTTGGAACCCATACAAAACAATATGTGGCTTTAATTGATATTTTATTTGATCTACTCCTATTTTTTCAAATGATTATTTCTTCCTTTATTAAATTTATTCATTAATTTACATTTTGTATTGATATATATCAAGTATATGGCAAATTTTGACATTTTATCCAGCAGCACAACAGTAGACATGTCATATTTATATACCACTCTGTTGCTTTTGCCTTTTTTTTAACAGCAATATTGTCCTCAGTCACTAATAAATCTCCACTGACTTTTACTAGTGAAGCTACTGCTGTCAACTTGTTCCAGCCAACCATCTCTCTTCCTACTGTCCTTTCAAGTCCCCCTCGCACCTCTTGGTTCAGGCAGGTCATCTCTGCTGTCTCCATTGTAGTTTCCACAGAGGCCTCTGAGATGTTGATAGTAGGAGGATGGCACTGTGATATACAGCCTCATGTTCCAGTCATATTTTACAGTCAGACCAAAGTCAGTGTTGAGGAAAGCATAGGCTCCACTCTGCTTTACCGAGACCTGGCCACCCAACAAACTGACAGGCAAGTACTGGAGTTCTCCATTCACCTGTAGATAATAACAAAACTGTAACTGTATTGCAACACAAGGTCAGCTTGTGAGAAAGTTCATAGTTCATAGTTTGTGAAAAGCACTAGAAATTCTAAAAAGCATTCAAGCAGAATTGTGAGGTTGTGTTTTATTAGCTAATTGGCATCAGCTGCATCATTCATGCTTCACCAACCACTTGACTACTAGCTACCTATTCTGTCCAATCATATTAATTCTGGTGTAAGGCATGGCCATTATAACGTGTCTTCACTATTAGTCATGATATGTTTCTGCCAGCACGGTCCACCAGCCCCACACCAAACTCCCCCTCATGTACTAAGGTTTTGGTAATGCTTGTTAAGATTGTTTGTTAAGAGTGGATTAGTTGCTGCTCAGATTATTTAATAGCAGAGCCTTTTCTTCCATGCGTACAACCATTTATGGCAAATGGTTAATTCCTTGACAGTGTTTTGGACTGAAATGTCTACAGTGTAAATAAAACTACACCTACTGGCAACATAAAGTAAGCGCTGCGTGGCGATTTTGATCCGATTTATGTGAACGCAGCACCCCCCGAGTTACGTTGAGTGCGAGGGCCAGTTCGATGCTGCTTGCAGCTTTAATTAGGGACCGAGCACTGACCAGTGCAAGGCCCTATTGTAATTGAAGGAATTCTTCTTATTATTTTTCTGCCCCTTCGACCTGGATATTTTGGCGGCCGCACAATGCCTCCGAAAAGTCAGGAAAATTTGCACAAAATTCAAACGTAACGAAAAATACCAGTATGGGCCAAATGTGTCCCCGTGCACGGGGGTGCCGCCAAAATGGCTAAGCCCCGCCCCCCGAATCAAGGCCCCCAAGACGCGTAAGGCCGACATGTACGAAAAGGTACGCAATGTGTATCGTGAAAAAAAGAAGCAGAAAAGCCCTCTTGGACCCATACCCCAAAACCCAACCAGGAAGTCGGCCATTTTGGATTTAGCCGCCATTTTCTTATTCACTGATAGTGGAGAGCCGCCCACCTAAATGGTGGAAAGGAAATCTCATTTTTATTTACTTTTAATGTATATCTTCCCCCATCAGATCCAAGCTGAAATTCTTGTCTTAGTTCCTTAGGGAACGATCCAGATGACATCTTTTGAATTCTTAAGAATTGCAGTGGGAACCCATGGTGCCATTGGCGGACGCAAGCAAAAATCAGCTTTTTCTATTAACATTTCAGGGCCACTTTTTTGGGGGAACTAAACCTGCAACAAAATTCAGGTCGGTGGATGAGGCTTAAGGTATTGTGTTGGTCCCGTAGGATGGGCGTCCGCAAAAAGGCTTAAGCCACGCCCTCCAGAATCAAATTTTTGAACGAACTCCTCCTAGGGATTCAATCTGATATACTTCCAAAATTGGTCTGTTAAAGATAAAAAATGTTGCTGACTAAAAGATGTGTTGCTATTTGGTGACTGTACGTTGGGAAGGGCGCTGGTCTGTGGCGTGCCGTCAAAGTTTGGCCTATGTTGAATTGAATGTCAAAACTGTGATGCCATTTCTGGCAATTTAAGGGCTTCTGTTGTTTAACTAACCCTCCGACAGATTTTATTCAGATTGACATTCAAATTCGATCACCGAAATCTAAACCACATGGTGTTTAAAAGTTGTGGCTATTTGTGACTGTACGTCTAACCGGCGTGGTCCGCGACGACGTGTCGAATTCCGGCCCGATGGCCATAAACCAGATAGTAACAGTGTACACTCCCACCTGAAACAATGTCCTCATAACTTCAGTGGTACATTGCGTCCAATTCAATGAAAGTTGAACAAGTTTGACAAGCCCTGAACATTGTTCTAACATGACAATATTCCAGATATAGTGAAGCGCCACCTACTGTCAACAGGAAGTAAGCACTTCGTAGCGACTTTAGATCTGATTTACGTGAAATTTTCATTGTTGGTGCTACGCCTACACGTGACCGCGGCCGCAGCCACGCCCCGAGTTGCCGTGAAGTGGGCAAGGGCCCGGTTTCATCACTGCTTGCAGCTTTAATTAGGGACCCGTGCCAGCGCCGCTGGGAGGTCCCTATTGACTGCTATGTTTCCTTATTATTTTTTTAGCGACTTCGACTGCCGTTTTTTGCCCCCCTGAACCATATTACGAAACCAATTTTATTTTGGCAAAGTGGCCAGGCCTGGTGAAAATTGATATTCTATGCGTTCGCTTTCGTTCGGCCCATAGTTTGCGGCCCACTATCCATAAAAAGTGCGTTTAGGCAAAAAACTTCCCTCATCGTTTGTTGCACATTCAAAAATATTATATCCCGCGTTCGGGTAATGGGCTGAAACTCTCTTATAATAAGGTCAGGCTGCCCATTTTCGCCATAGAATTCTTTTTTTGGCCTAGAGCGCCAAAATGTCCAAAACTACTTTCACGTGTTTACTCTATATGCTTTTGTCCGATTTGCACAAAATATTTCATGTAAGCATCTGGGGACCGTCCTGCAAAAAGTATATTCGAAGATTTTGATATTTCAAAAAATAAGCATGTTATAAAATTAGCACTTCCTGGTAAATTTTATCGTCAAAAAAAGGAAGTGGACCATTTCTCTACATTTGGTATGTCCGATTTGCACCAAGCCCTTGGGGACCAATAGTTCCCCGTGTCTTCCTTAGGCATCGTGCACAATTTCAGGCCATCCGCCACAAGGTGCGCTCTTTTAAAATGAACAAGTTTATATCTCCGCATCGGCACGTGTAATTAAAACGAACTTGGATAGGATGATTGCCATGGCTCCCCTGGAGGCTTTACCTAAAAAGGAAAAAAAATCCACGCCACTGGGTGGGCGCTCTGGTGGCATGATAAGTTCACTGTGTGGGAGACCGTAATAGTCATGAAATATGAATGAATGAAATTCATAGGGCCATGGTAGTGAAGTGCTCAACATACCATACCAATACGTTTGTCGTGTTTTGGGTAGCGCCCCCTACAGGGCTTTAAAAAAGCAGCCGGCGCCACGTTTCACCCGATATGTGCAAAACTCGGTAAAGACAACGGAAACGTGCCGAGACGTCAAAAATGCCTCTTGAAACCCATACCCCAAACCCCACGGGTCGGCCATTTTGATTTTCAATTTTCACTTTCGAACTTTTTGCGTTGTATTTGAACGAACTCTTCCCTAGGGGAATTCATGGACCTGCTTCAAAATTGTCCATACAGTCAAGAAAATTTTGCCTGAATAAAGGTTGTGCATTTGTGCATGTACATTGAAAGGGCGTGTCCGTGGCGTGTGCCTTCAAAATTGGCCATTTTTTGAATTCCGTGCCTCATTTCAGTAGGAATTTTTCGCCTTGTATTTGAAGAACTCCTCCTAGGGAAATTTCATCGGAATCTTGCTTTCCAAAATTGGTTCAGTACAGTCAAAATAATTTGGTGCTGATTTAAAAGTGTGCTATTTGTGCCAGGTACATTAAAGGGCGTTGTCCGTGGCGTGGCATCAAAGTCAGCCATTTTGACTTTTTTGGTCATTTTCTGTGATTTTTCGTGTTGTATTTGAACGAACTCCTCCTATAAATAAATAAATAAATATAAATTTAAACCATAAAAAAATTATACCATGCAATCTAATGGAGAAATATCCTGACTTCTCACTTGATTTATTAGCTTAGTAAACAGTTTGCTAAAAAGTTTATGGTCTCAATTGTATTTTCAAGTCTTCTTCGATACATTATGATGTTCATTGAGTAAATTATGGTCCAATTTAGAGTAAAATAGACATGTGCTTTTGGGCGTAGCTATCTCGTGATTGACAAGTCACTCTCAATGAGTCTGTCAAGCACACCGCACAAAACTCAACACATGATTTCTAAACAGAGAAACATTTAAAGTGCCCCCATGACCTGCAAGGCTCATGTGACTTATAGGGTAGCTGAGCTAGCACTAGAACCTGCTAGCATCTTTATTACCAAGCCAACCACTATTGGCTGAGCAAGCTACAATAGTGTTATTGTAAAGCGAGTGGAAGTAAAAATAGAGCTCATTCTCATGGACACATTGCAATAAGGAATGACAACTGAAGATAATGTTTGTTGTCCTTTTATATAAAATCAATTTGTTTCCTTTTCATTATCTGAAATTTCTTGAGCAGACATTCTTAACAGAGCTGATGGATGTCTTTTGCTGGGCACAGAGCCACACATTAAGAATGAAAAAAAACATAGACAATAGACTATATTGTAAAAATTATAAAGTGACTTAAACGTGTGCCTGAATATAAGTAACATTTGCATAAATATTAATGAAAAGTATAGTTTGTTACCTTAATAGTTTAGTAAGTATATTTTTAAACTAAATATTAATTAGGATTTAATATAGAATCTCTTACCTGTATTTGTCTTCTATTTCCACCAATGACAATCGTCTGCTTGTGAACACTGACAGTTACAGTCCTCACAAATGAAACTCGCCGATTACCTCTGTGGTCATTCTTGGTCATCACAGTGAAAGGCAGAATGTCAGATGCCGTCTTTGCAACTGTTGCCATAATGTAAGTGCAGGAACCCTGAAAGGCATGTTATTACACAACTGAAGCAAAGAACATTAAAAACATTTTTGGTTCCTCATCTCACAAAGCCACAAAGAAACCAGAAACAGTGTGTTGGATTTACAGTATTAGACCATAGCTAACCCAGCAGACAAGCAAAATAACAAGGGTCACATTCCCCGCTGATTAAAGACAATATGCACTATGTGTATAATAGCAATCTCAAATGTTCTTTGAGTGAAAGTCACACTGTTTGAAAGAGGTCAAATAAAATGTTGGTTACAATGTCGGTCAGACTGTTAAATGTAAATTAAAAAGAGTGTACAATGGTCTTTTCGAAACAATAATTTTATACAGCTATAGATAATCTTAATCCTCCAACACTGTCCGATTGTACCCCTTGCCAAGTGGACAGCACAGTGCATGAGAGTTGGTATAAGCAACAGTGACAGTGAGCTCTCCCAACTTTACCTGGAAGTCATAGCGTCGGCCATCAAATGTCAAGTAGTGTGGGTCACCTATCACACGGCAGGTTGCCGTGGAAATATGGACACATGCTCCGTTCACACAGCGTTCCTTTATTCGACATTTTACCTGTTCACATGGATCAGTGGGTGGTGCAGGGGTGGAGTGACCTACAGGAAATATAAATACACCCTTGACATACATTTACTGTATCTGCAGTATAGCAGGAATCTACATGAGTTTGGATGCGTACCTTTAGAACAAATTCCAGCAATGCCATACGCATGGCGGTATTTCCCACCATAGATGTAGACTGCCATACGGGCATCACCTTCCACTGTCACATGACTCTGTTCTTTCCCCACTGGTACATTGGACCACACCCAGCGCTTATCTGACAAGAAGCTTCTCCACTTAGGTGAATGGCACCGAGCCTTAAGACACACCTTCACACTACCTGCCCCCTCCCTCTCTGACAGGATGGCAACAGTACTGGGAATCCCGCCCACTGTCTCAACTGCCCAATCAGTAGCAAGCTTGCAGGTAGGAGTCAGCGTTATCAGAAAAGGGTCATTTGGTTTATTGTTGCTAAGAAGCAGCACCATTACTTTCTTGTCACTCTTGAGAACCAGTGGATGTTTGAAGATCACTTTCTGCAAGGTGACATCTCCCGCCATCCTTAGTTTCCTGTTGGTGTAAGCGTAATATATTTAGTTGGTTAGATTAGAAGTGTAGTTCGAGTTTAGATGAACTGAGAAAAATAATTTGATTATTATTTACAATAAATAATTATATGGAAAGATATAGAAACACATTACATCCAAAAGAACACAACAGAAGTTTCAGGACTCCTCAGCTACTTGTCAATGATGTTGTGAAACTAGCAAATCATGTTTATTTTAGTTTGTATAACAGGACATACAGCATGTATTATATGCTTTTTCTAGTTACCAGCATGGAAACATTTAATGTAACTCAGTTCTGTGGTGTGTCTGTGCACTGTTTCTCATGTGTGTTGATAAAGTGATGAAGATGTTTCTTCATTTGCTTGTGTTTTGGTTGTATTTTCCTGTTGCACTGCATTGAGCTCCCTTTGCATGTTGGAAAACATGAAATGGGACAGTTTTCTCGCATGTGCTTTAGAAGAGTTAATTGATGTATTAAAACATTTATATTACATTATATTTTTCAACGTACACAGTGTCATTATACAGTATGTTAAATGGATAAATGGATGATGAGTGATGTGTGCATTTTGATGGATAGGTGGACATACCAGACCATGTAGCTTCAACAGTATATTAGAATGAATATTATAGAATTATAATAGAAACTCAACTGTTTGCTTAAGAGTTTTCCCTTGTGCAGTGTCACCTCAGTGTTGTCTTCAGTAGCTACTATCACTGCCCAGTTTGTGGCCTTACAGTTGCTGGTCGTGGGTACCATGTATTCTTTACCAAGGCTTGCCAAAGGAGGAAGCTGTTCATACACATGTTCACACTTCGAACCCAAAGACAGACACTGGTGGCCTGCCAAGACCGCTACAGGATTCTGAGATTGAATCCGCATGCCTGTCAAGGTTGTATGACTTCGTACAAGGTAGGATTCATAGGGTGCCAGGATAAAAGTCACTGCTTTTCCACGCTGCCACCTAGATCCACCTCTTAGATACAAATCAGCACCAGGTAAGATGGTGATCTGGTTGTAGCTATTGCCATTAACGATAGCCAGTAGCCTGTCCATGTGCTTAATGCTTCCTGAGGGTGTGAACACAAAGTAGTCAGTACCAAGCTCTGCTGTTGGGGAAACCACTGTGCCATCTCCTGTGGCGTGGCGACGGTTGAAAGAGACCACAGAGATTTCAGCACTAGATGAGATTCGTACTGCTGAGTTTGGAGTAACAAACTGCTCTTGCAGCTCAGATCCACATGGAAGAGAAACCCACCGGCTTTCACCTGCAGACAGGGTCAGCTGCCTGGAGAAATCCACTGAAGCCACCTGCAGATTAGCCTGGATTTGTTAAACAATCAGAGGCAACCTTAAAACATACCAGCCCGCTGTCACCCCCAACTGAAATACAGCTTTTCAGTTGCCCTATGCTTCGAATAATGACGCTGTAGGTATCCTGGGTCATTAATGGTGGCTTGAGTTATTTAAGTTAGCTTCATAACATACATATAATAATTGTCTGCAGTGTACAGGTGCAGACAATTATTGTGATATAGTACTACACAATGTGCACACTATTTTTAATACATAATGCCCTGCCTTTTCACTGCATATGTGAAAAGACTTGAATGCAATGGAGGTAGCCAAGTCTATTATCATGCAAATATCAGTCCTGATTTATCAAAGGAAAAAAAATACAATCATATGAGCAGTCCACATATGATTAAAAAAAACCTATAACAATGCAGTTCAGAAATTTCCTAGTTAGTGTGTAGCACAAAAGTTTAATTTACAAAATCAAAATTAAAAATTACAAAATGAATTTGCAAAATAAAAAGGCTTTTCTATAGCTAGATTTTTTATGTAATGTAATGACTGCTCAGTAGTGGCTGTAGGTATTAAAGCATTGTTTGCACAGATAAAATAGTTTTGAGGCTATAGTTTGATTCGAACAGACAGGTTTCAAGAAACGTGCAAAAGGATTGTAAAAATAAACCTGTAAAACCTTTTTTTGTAGTGTTGCAGTGTCGACCTTTGATTAAAAATATCAGTCACCTGTATATGAACACTGGCTTCAGACCTGTGAGCAGTCAAAACCACATGGAGATGGTGGTCTTTTTCAGCAGTACGCAGGTAGTTAGGAAGAAATGTTGTGATGAACTCCTTTCCTGTAGCACAACCATGACATACTGGAGAAGAGAAGAGAAGAGAAGAGAAGAGGTTTTATAAACTTAAATAAACCATGATAGAACTCACTAATAATATTACTGGTCTCCTACAGTCATACCTGCCATGAGTGCAGCAGCCAAGCACATCATGAGAGGCTTTATTTCCATAGCTAAGAAAGACAAAACGAGAAATAAATATATTTTATATATTTGTACATAATGTTGAACATTATGTGTTTTGCATATTTTCTTAACAAAAACCAGCATGTTTCATTGGGCAGTTTTCAGTGTTTCCCAATTTTACAGCACAAACACAATTCTGAAATACTTTAGAAGCAAATATGTCTATGGTAGTGTGAAAGCTGACCATACTTAAAGGCAGAGGCAGAGCATTAAATTTTGAACATTCAAAGCTTAGCCCAAACCTAGGTAGGTCTGGGGCCATTCTCTCTTGGAGAGATTATTATTTTTTTTTTTTTACCATTTATGGTAATTATATGCTCTAATTTTCAAGCCTTTTGAGATAATAGTATGCCTAAAAATCTGTACATCATTTGGGAAAAACATTATAGTTGCCAAGGGAAAGAAATCATCCTGAAGGGCCAATTAACTACCCAGGTTAAGGTGTCATAACTGAGGTGTCATAACTGAAACGTGCCAATGTTATGGTTAACCCAAACTAGAATAATGGATGGACAGTTAGTGGCCATATCTGTATATGGGTTTTTCACTGGCCAATACTGATATTTAAGGAAGGCTGCTAATGGCTGATGTATAATGCCGATATCAAAACAGACAGATCATGTGTTATTTTATTTTGTTCTATAGGAAATTTGGGCATATATTTACAGCAGGATGCATGAGAGTTATACTACAATGCGCAACACTAACTTTTTCACCACATATTGTTTTGCACTAAGTCACTGCACTCAAGGTATTTTTTTTCTTGACATGTATTTGTTACTGCTTATATGCTCCCATGGTTTGTGGTTAATTCACAATAGCTATTATTGTTAGCCTACTGTAATAGAAAAAATTATAAAAATTCAATTTCTTTGTATTTTTATATCAAAGTCTTAAATGTGTCTTATTTTAGTGTACTGTTTAGCTGTAATACGAGATTGTGTGTGACTGGGCGAGCTGCCATTGTTTCCTGCTACAGACAAGTCAAAATTGCACAGACAGTGAGCGCAGATCAACCCGCAGTAAAGCGTCTTGTAGACTCGCAAAGAGAGAGATGTTCGGTCTAGACCTGCTCTATAAAATGTCCTGAGATAACTTCTGTTTGTAAAGTTGGTGCGAAGACAAATAAAATTGAATTGAATTGGAATAGAGAATAAGAAGCGGGAGTTTTCCAAGTCAGCATCTAACAGGAGCTACATTTTATGAGTCTAATTCAAGTATTTGGGTTTAATTTAGGTTAATTGCTTAAAAATGTCCAGATGAAGACATTCATTTTGGTATTACACAAATGCACCATTTATTAATTTTACCACAATGGGATCATAATATCATGGCATTTCACCTGTTAAGTAATATTGCAACTTTTAGCGACACAGAGAGACAGCAACATTTGAGCCATCTGGTTAGAATCACCTTGTCACCAAACTTCCTGAAGTTGTGTTCACTGGGAGGGCCGCTTGAGCCCAATTGATTACCATGCTAACACCAGCTATATTAAGTCGGAGGACATCAGATGGATAACAGAATATATTTCCTCATTGAATATGATCCAGTTACACCCAAATCACTGATAAAGTTGTGCTTTTATACAAGTGATACGCTGTGTTTTATACAATATTCAGTGAGGTCCAGCCCCAAAAACACTCTTACGCCTCAAGGTAGCCAAGCCATATGTTGCTAGCGCAGCTAACTAATGAAACTTTGGCTCTGCACCACTAGAAAGTTGATTATTGATTCTGACAGGTGAATTGTCATAATATTATTGGCAAAACATTTAGACAGGCTGATTTAAGCACAAAGAGTGAAACCTTCAATGACGTCACCCATTGGTTAGTGGAGTACCATTTTGGAAGCCTCAAGTTTAATGTTTTGGCTGCGCACCATGACAGTTAGACGGAGCCAGTGCAAAGCGGAGTGACTTAAGGCTAACAGTATACTCGCCGTCCCGACCTGACGCCGGGACACTTGACGTCAATAATCGGTTAGATCCGCTGGCGCGCCAGGATTGTAGGCCACCACTCTTTTTTTTAAGCGACACCGCCAGAGTGGCCACAGGAAGATGACGCGTTCGAGGGCACAGCTTTCCGTAGCAGTTGCGACACCTTGTTCAGGAGAAGACGCAATAGTATCGCGACCCCACGCGCAAGTATAAATAGTTACGGCGCTCCCATGACTCACATTGTCGCGCGACAGGTCGGGAACGG